CCCCCACCGCCGGCTCCTGCTGCTGCTGCTGCTGCTGCTGCTCCTCTTCTGTCTCCTTTTTGATCGTTTCAGCAAAGGTGCTGAAGGCCGGCAATGCCCACGCGTCCTAAAAACAAAAACAGAAAAACAAATGAATATAATTAATTATATTTATTCATTTATTCATTCTATGTATTCATTCTATTTATTCATTCTATTTATTCATTCTACTTATTTATTCTATTTATTCATCTACTCAACTGGGCGGGCAAGTTAAGCTGCAGCTAGCCCAACGGGTCCCCGGCGGCGCCTAAACCCTAAACCCTAAACCCTAAACCCTGCTAAACCCTAAACCCTGAAGCCTCCCAAAGCCTTCTAAACGCTCTTCCGCGTTCCCACCCCGCTGCGGCGTCCCTGCCTCCGTGCCCACCCGCAAAACCCTAAACCCTAAACCCTAAACCCTAAACCCTAAACCCTAAGCCCTAAGCCCTAGCCCGCAGCCCCACGCCGCAACCCCCAAGCCCTGAAACGGGGTTTCGAGGGTGCGTGGCGCGGGGCTCCCCCCGCGGCTGCGGCGCGCGGGCGCCGCAGCAAACCCTAAAAAAGGGTTTACGTCGGGGCGTCCGAAGAAGCGCTGGCGGCCGCCCCTGAGGAAAAGCAGTTTGCTGCAGCGCGGCAGCAGCGCGAGCCGGTGGGTCGCGAAGAGCACCGTCTTGCGTTTGAGGAGTTTCAAAAAGCAAAAAGAAAAGATGTGATGTGCCACGAAAGGGTCCACCGCGGACAGGCAGTCGTCGAGCAGATACACCCTGCAGTGTCTGTACACCCCGCGGGCCAGCGCCACTCTCTGCTTTTGCCCTCCAGACAAATTAATTCCTTTTTCTCCGATCTCCGCCAAGTCGCCTCCCGGGAGGCTTTCCAGGTCGCCCCGCAGCGCGCACGCCTCCACCACCTCCCAGTACCTGCAAACCCTAAATCAGGGTTTTGCCGAGTCAGGGTTTTGCGCCGCAACCCTTCCCGGGCGGGCACGAGGGTTTGCACGCAGTAAGGGGGGCGCGGGTTGGTGGGGTTTGGCAGGCTTTAGTGGCGTTGCTAGGGTTTGCTAGGGCTTGCTAGGGCTTGCTAGGGTTTGCAAGGGTTTAGGGTTTAGGCTGGTTGTTGGTAGGCTGTTTGGGGAGGGTTTGAAAGCGTTTTGGGGTTTCGAAAGTCTTTACGGTTCAGGGCATAGGGTGGGTTTAGCGTTCTTGAGCACTTCAAAACCCTAAAAAGGTGTTTACGCTAAACCCTAGAAAGGCGTCTAGGTGCTTAATAAACCCTAGAAGGGCGCTGAGGGCCAGAAGGGGCGCTGGAGGGGCGTCTGGAGGGCCTGAAAGCTTGTGTGCGCAAACCCTAAAAAAGCGTTTAGCAAACCCTAGAAAACCCTAATTTGCAAAACCCTCACCAGTCGTGGTCGTAGGGAAGTCCGAAAAGAATGTTTTCGCGAAGAGTCGCGTTTTGAATCCAGGGGACTTGGCTGCAGTAGGCCACAGTGCCGTCGACA